GCAATGGCAAACCACTTCTGGATCATCTGCCAAGAACGTATATGAACAGGTCCCAGTCAGAGAAAAGGATGGAAGGATCCTGTTCATATGGACCTGTCGTCAGACAGAACACTACAAATAAAAAAAAACTTGTACTCATTGCTTATGACTGATTTCTGCCGTGTCTATAAAAATTTCGAATTCAGCTTAAAATGTAAAGTGTAAATGGGTCTATGACGTCAAAGGGGAACAAGCATGATGAACGATAATGTGCTCATGACGAAATATTAGAAGGCCAAATATGTTACAAGAGAATAGCAAAACACGATTATGAAACAGGTGTAGTTCAGTTATTATTTGTAAACTACCCAAACGTTCTATTCCGCATTTTCTGGTGTCGATGTTCGTAGGAGCGTTTTATTTCAGCCGAAACACTGCCACTCGATTAATGTAAAATGCGCTCAGAAAACACAATGAACAGAAAATGAAGGCATGTTCAGATTAACACAGAGTGTCCCATTTAGAAACGTAACACTAACCACAACAGCATTTGCAAACTTTGGTGACTTCAATACGAAGAAGACACGCGATTTATTTTTCATCCTTTGTTAGGAAGACAAGCATCAAGACATGAGACAAAAGACGCAGTCTTGCTTCATTCGTGATTCAGACTCGTGTCCGCACGTGTCTGCGTCTTATCACATATTCTCTAGTTGATGAAATGACGTCGTCCAGTGAGGAACATATTTTAATGTACATGTGGCTGAAAGTACGTAAAGGAAGGAAAAGGAAGTGGATTCATGACTTTAATGAGTCGTGTGCGTACGTTTTAGCGCGCGACTTGTTAAACGAACCGGTAAAATTCCAGTCTTATTATCGAATGTCCCCAGAATCCTATAAGGATCTTCTTCAGAGAGTTTCGCCACTATTGAGGGAGCAGGATACAAACTAGGAAAGCTATTAGTGCTGATAAACGGCTACTTATAACATTAAGGTAAGTGTTAGCATCAATTATTATATATTTTTTTAGTGTTCTGTCTGACGACAGGTCCATATGAACATGATCCTTCCATCCTTTTCTCGGACTGATACCTGTTCATATACGTTCTTGGCAGATGATCCAGGAGTGGTTTGCCATTGCCTTCTTCTGTGTGTGAATGGAGTAATTGTTGGGATGCCACGGAGAAACCGGGGAAGCCCCCGGAGGAAAACTCCGTGTTGCCTAGACCACGGCCTTGCCCAACACAAGTTATAAATAAATTATAAGAAAGAAATCACAAAACGTGTGCATATTTATTTTAAATGTTCTTTGAGTACTGATGTCTCAGTCTTCACGCACAGAAAAGGAACATGCCGAGTCTCGCTGCACGTTCCTACAGTATGAAGCTGACGTCAGCTCATCTCATTCGTTTCAACTGTGCTCCTTTCTTTGCGTCATGTCGCAGACATCGTGTCTTGACTGTTACATGTCTTGACGCATGCCGGTGTGCGGTCTACCTTACACAGCAGATGTCCACGAACCTGCAGTAGATACACAGAAACTTCCTGTGTTCGAAATTTTGTTACGAGTCGGTATTACCTTGCCGTGAAAAGTACTTCTAAATGCTTCACGAACTGAAACAAATAATATCGATTCTAAAAAGTATTCGAGACTGGATACAAGTTCTGCTCACGAAAATACTAAGTTCTCACACCCAGATCTTCTCTGCCACTGTGTCAAATGCTGTCATTCGACTATTAAGCATTAAAGATCAATGTTCCTCCACGCCCTAGCATCACATCATGGAGCAGTATAGGAAGATTAAGGTAAAACTCCAGGGATTCACATCTTCGGCTCTAGACGATGGTGAATGATGATGAAATTCACCCTCGGGCGACATTTTCCCCGCAGAGCCACTTACACCCATCGGATGAGACGATCGGGCTACAGACGGCGTGGGGGGTGGGGGCGGGGAAGCGAATATAAATCATATTACCCTCGCTGCGATTCGAACACTTGCCCGCCACTCAGACATCCATTAACAATTTTATAAAAACACGTGGGTATGGGGTATAGGGTCCTGCTTGAAAGGACATGAATGGGCTTTCAGAAACTAAGACAAAGCCGAGGCAACGCGTCCTCAGGTTGAGGGTGGAGTCAGCCGGAGGACAGCCAACAAAGGGTGGTCCTCCAGCTTGGAAGTTGAGAAGCAAAAGGGGTGTTGCGAAATGTTATACAGGGTCTCGGTGTCGGCTGTTGTGCACAGTGAAGTGATACTTCGGGTCCCATAAAAGGCGAAGACTTACTTCAGTAGATGAAAGACTGTTAGCGTCGCAAAGGATGGCCTGGTGAACATTTTGTCGACGGATCAGAAACCAATGGCGGCCAGACTTTAACTTAGTAGATAAATATGTAAAAGCACTTCGAATATACAGAAATTTTAATGTCTCTTTTCACCATGTTATGCCGTTCTCGGGTTGCGGAAGACATGGACGGTAGCCGCGAGTATCACGAATAAGCCAGTAGCGGACAATAGCCATAGCAACAGAGAGAAAACATTAAAAGCCGTGGAGAGAAACCCAAAATGGCACAGATTCTTTGGAGGTTTTCAGAATATTGCCCAATAGAAATATTTTCTACAGACGGCGATAAATCTTTTCTACCACTTATTATTATTATTATTATTATTCAGTGTTCTGTATTACGACAGGTCCATTGCTCTGCCCAAACAGAGCTCCCCAGTTTCCCCTATTCTCGGCTTCTCGTTGTAATTCCTGGAACGTCATCTTCTTTCCTTGTTTAAGATCGTCGGTTAGCTGTATCAGTCTTCTTCCTAGTCCTCTCTTTCAGCAACAAATTTATTAAAGAAGTGAATTACTACTGTATCAGCTTCTGAAACTAATTTTATATTTGACGTTCTCACGGCAGTATAGATTTGTAGGCATTCACAAACATTTTGGTGAAAAACATCCAGTCTCCACGTTCATGGCTGAATATGTTTCTCCGAATCGTTGGTATGCGAGTCTACACAACATCATAATCCAGAAAGAGATCATCATTTTCAATTATGATTTTGGATATCACTGGCCAGTTACACAGACCGAACATATTCCATTCAATATATTATAACTGCAGTGACCTGTTCTGTTTCTTGAACATATCGAAAACTTTACAGAGCTACAGAGTTAAACCTGTTATGAAGTTGGTGACTCATGCGAAGGAATTGAACCGATGCACAATTATAGTATTCTTACGGCACAATGGATTCATGACGAGAGCAATTGAATAGACGCAATTATAACAAAGTTTACGGAATTACCAATCAAAGTTGGTGGAGTACACGATAACACACCAACGCACTGCATATAAAGTTGATTCTCAACCAGTAATTGAGGAGAAGTGAACTCTGTTTTAGATTAAATAGAAGCATTCAATGGCCTCCCTTAACAAACGGGGCAGGAGCGTCGGACGAAATCTCTGTGTCATATACGCACATGTAAAGTGTTTCGATCAAATTAACTCGGTGGATGCAGTGCATTGTCAACCAATCGACAGTTGTTCAACTACTCAACGAGACAGGACACCGAGTTCACGTGTGTCTACAAAACAGTATGGCCCAGAAGGAATAGAAAAGTCTTTCGGCCGACCCAGTCCTCTTATCGTTTCAACAAACTGGACCATCGACATTATAGACATCGCAAACGAGATATAAGAATGTATTTGCGACGTAGGCGACCCGTTAGACATGTGACGTGCGCATACGTAATTTCCGTGTTCGTGAGTGAAGAACATCGGTCTTCAATAAAAGATAATTCTCACATGATTTTCTTGCCTTCCGCTGTTCGTAGCATCGTAATTCTTTTATTTTATTTTTTTATGATATGTCTGACTGTTTTATAACTTCCAGTGTTGTAAAATATTGCCAGTAAAGTTTATATCCAGTCAGAACGAGCACGACGTTTTTCGGTCTGCCGGAAATGCAGCACGTGAATTCCCGGGCCACATACGTCACAGATACTTAACTCTCGAGTACAGTAGTTGACAGAATCCCACAGAGGAGACTCATTTTATTGAGAATTAAACCAAACATATTCAGATTTGTGTTTGGAAGGAAACATGTTTTAATTTTGCCTCACTATGCTGACTAATATTCTCAATTACTATCGGTGAATAGGCCAGGACTCTTTATAAAGTCGTCATCAGAACTCACTGGACGATATATTATCGAAGATAAAGAAGGAAATGGAGAACTACGAATGTCTACTAATGTAAAAAGACCAATCCTATTTATTTTCCGTATATTAGAAAACATAAAATTATGCAGTGCTTAACGTTTACAAGAATTTTGAAATCTGTAAGCCAGAAATAAAATGCAATAGAAGTAAAATGCTTCTCATTTAATGAATTTGTATACAATTAAGGTAATGGATGATCATTAATGTGAACTACAAACTATGGAAAAAGCATTCATAATTAAGCAATCTTCTGAAATGTATGAGACAAAGAACATGGAGCATGGATTTCCTTAGTGTCACGTCTCTCGATATCCAGTTCAATCTAAAGTCCATTCTGTCAACTGATGAAATACTTCAAGTTGCGGACCCAAATTACAGTTCCTACTTGGTACTGAATGAAGCCATAAGACAGCACTGACATTCAAAACAGGGTTCCTTAGGCCAGGACCTGAACGAATGAGACGCCAACCAGGTGTTCAATATCCGGTATTATCGATTTAATACTCAAGTTACTCGTTGAAATTAATTTTCCTTCTGAAGCCGTAAGGCACTAACTCCACTTCAGTTGCCACTTCATTCGGGGGCTGAAGTATGAGTGAGTGCACGACGAAGGAAACTCCGGAACATTGATAAACGGCCTAGTAGAATGAAAGCGACAAACTCGCAAATGTAAGAACAGCAGAGAGAGGTCCACAATGCTGCTAAACATAATATTAATAACGTAAGAAATGAACGAGATCATCGGAAACACTTTTGTTTCCTACAGGAACCTCCACTTTTATGTTAAATTAGACAAAAACTGAGTGAGAGTTCGGGTTT